GCTTAATGAGGAGACCAGGCATTTGACTCATCAGGCTCGCCGTTGGCGGATTTCTTTCCCATCGGATAGCCGCCCTGGCGTGCTTTCCCTGGACATTTCCTTCTGCTGAATGGGATCGGTAATGGGAACCTCCGCCTGCCCGTGGGCCAGTCGGTCTGTCCACGCGCGAGCGCAATACCCGCACCGCACTCGCAGAGGTTCGACTACATAGAAGCAGTCTGCGTTTCGCAAGCAAAGCGATAAATGCTCCTCTGCTGTTAGAAAATCTAAGCGCACCCCTCCACCCTCTCCGGCCGCGCTAATGTTTTATGGTGATCGGAGTTTTCACAGATCACAAATCAATCCTCTTTCGATTTGTCCTGCCCTTGGGTGTTGGCCTGGAGGAATCGAGAAATTTCACGTCGTGGGTTTTGGCTGGTAAAATGGCTGTCCTGCTTTCAGATTTTTCAATGAATCTAACTGATTTGGACTATTTGCATAGCAAATTCCAGCTTTCTGGCTAGTGTGGCTGTAACTCTGTGGGGAAGAGCTAAGCTTCATACTCTTGTGCCATGCAAAAAATGTAGAATCTTTTTCAAAAATTGTATTTTGTGACATTTATTAAGAGTTATCCTTAGTAATTCTGGACTGTATTTCAATTTTTAATTTAATTTTATTATTTTGGAAAACTACATGCAAGCAATCCACTTTCCGACTTCATTTTTAAAGCCCATCCTCTTCCATTGCCTATGGATCATATAGCATTTGTCAAGATACGAAAGTTTGATATTTTCAATTTTGATATTTTTATAAGTGATGAGGGATTACCAAAACTATGCTCAAGAAAGCAAACCTGGAGCTGTTTCCTTAAAAAAAAAAAAAAAAAAACTTGGCTCCATAATAATGGTTTTTATCTTAACTTAAAGATAAGCTTCCCCCAATTCAAAGTGCAACTGGGAGAACAAAATACCAGCCATTGCATCTTAAAGGAGACACCTCCCATGAATGTTAATTTTCTCTCCCACGGTCATCCTCTCTTTATGTTTCTGCATATATCACCAGGCCCTTGATACCTGATTTATTCTCAGCTGTTTATCAGATTCTCAGGGTTTTTTCCCTTCATCCTTAAAAAAATACTGCAGCTTCCCTGTGCACCACCATCAAGAGGATACGCAGTTCAGATAAGGGTTATCCAAAATGTTAGACTACCACCATCCCTATATTCCTCAGCTAGCACAATTTGGTGGCTATTGTTTGCATGGCCTCTGATTTCCTGAACTGATCTTGTGGTGGATATGGAACTTTTTAAACTTGTTTCTCTTTTTGACCACCCATCTAAAATATTTCCAGATTAGTTTGTCCTATTTCAAAGCCCAAGGGATCTCCAATTAGAGGTCATTTTTGAGAATTGTACTGTATCTGTGTTTACCATTAATGATGTTGACTGTACAAAGTTATTCTTCAGAGTATTGCTCCACATGTCTCTGATTGCTACATCTATCCTTGCTTTGGTTTAGCACTGGAGCTCAGCTTTTTGGTTTTCACTTGATTTTTAAAAGACTTGGGGCGAATTGTATTTAACTTGGAAAACAGATCACTGTTCCAGAATGTCTGCCAACCTGCAATCTTAAAGCAAGCCCAGAATTCTGGAAGAGGTTTCCCTACTTCTTTTGCTGATAGTCTAAATGAGCAAAACATAAAACATATGCACAGTGGATAGGAAGACTGGGGTTTTTTTCCTTTTGTTTTTGAAAAGCCATAACTCAAGGGCAACAAGGAAAGCTAAAGAGTGGGAAATTCAGGGCAGCTGAAAGAAATCTTTTTTCACACAATGCATAATTCTCTAATAATAACTTCCACATTCCAGCTGGACAGCTTTAAAAGGGTATTAACAAATGCAGAAATGTTAAGACTATATACTGTATTACACCAATAGCGCTTAATGAGGAGACCAGGCAAAGAAAAAGGAAGGAAAAATGGAATAAAAATAATCACAACTTTACTGATTACAACTTTAAAATGGTTCTACCAACTGAGGAAGTCCATTAGCCAGTGACAGGTCTACAGTCCCTCCACAACAATGTGTGAACCAGCTCTTATTCAAGAGAAGGAATCGGGAGATGGATATTAGACTAGCTAGGACCACTTTTATATGTCTCTCATGACAGGTGGAATGGCCCCTATCCTTGCTAAGGGTTTTCATGCTAGCATGCGGGTATTATAGGAGCCCTGTTTAATCAGGACCCTGCCTTGCCTTCATTATCTTACCTTGCTAGGAACACAATATCACTTGCTAGGAACACAACTGGGACTATGCAATTGGCATTGGTCTTGCTGGTGGGCTGCAGTTAAGGCCAGTGGGAACAAAATGCTGAACTAGGTTGGCTTTTGGCTTTATTCAGAATTTTCTTACTTTACTATGTTCTACTAGTACTTCACTTATATTACTGCCAAAAGTTCCTGTATCTATGGCTATGGTTATGGCCTAGAATGTCGTCCCTTTCTTGGGGTTAAATACTCCTATCTCCTATTGTTTCATGGTGTATAAGCAAGTAGCTTATTTTCTATATCTTTGTGCTCTTGAAGTAAATCAGTGAAAGGGGAAAAATCCACACAAGTATAGATAGTACATCTTCATATAAATACCATGCAGATGTGTTTGTAAATGAATAGGGTGTCCAGGTCCTTTGAAGATCAAGTTAACATGGGCAAATAAATATAAGATAAGGTATCAGATATTATTTGACAAATCACAGGATGGTCCAAGGATAGAACAAATATTCATGGTAATTCAGAACCCCTTTCATATTTCTGCATTCTAAAAACAAGATTGGTGACTGTTTATGAGCAGAAATATGCCATATACACAGCACAACCCATTGAAAATAGCACCCCAAGTCTTGTGCTGTTTACCCTCTTCATGTGAAGGATCCTTCACCAAACCCATGCTGTGAGGTCAACATGTTGTCTAGCCTGCAATCCATACCAAGATTTCCAGTGCCCAAGATGTAGCTACGCACAATGTGATAACATCAAGGATCACAAGTTGTAAGCAACACTAAAAGTTATGGGGAAAGTGTAAGAACTTGCCTTAAGTTGCTGGCACAAAATGGAAATGGCTATCTTGGAGCCAGTTCACATTCAACTATATTTCAGTTTTCTGCATTGGATAATAGGAAAAGCCACTGGTAATAATGCAATCATTTGGTGTACTTTTTTTTTTCCACCTCACAATTTTCTACATTTCTTTCCTCCTGAACTTGATAATCATCTTTCTCTCTCAATCTCTAGGTAATACAGGAAAATGCTTCATGTATTTGATATTGTGAACTTCAGTCCATAAAAGCATATATATGCCATAATAAATGTATTAATCGTTATAGTGTTACAAGTCTCTCTCTTTAATTTACTTGGGTTAGAAATAGGATTAAAGCTCATACAGGAGACTTTAACCATGGAGTTCATGGTCCTCAGCAGATCTCACAGACTGATATTATGGATGCTTCCCTGTAACACTAGCAGTTCTTTCTGATATCATGTTGTGACCAACTCTGATATATTGTTGACCTGATAGAATTCAACCAGAAGCAACTCTTCTTGTGAGTCTGCATGTGTGTGTATTAGAGAGGGAGCAAAGGAAG